CCTTCTATGAAGCCAGCATCACCCTAATACCAAAACCAGATAAAGACAACTCAATGAAAGAGAATTACAGGCCAATATCCCTCATGAACATAGATGCCAAAATCCTCAACAAAATTCTAGCAAATCGGCTCCAGCAGAGCATCACAAAGATCATACACCATGACCAAGTAGGATTTATTCCAGGAATGCAAGGATGGTACAATATCCGCAAATCAATAAACGTGATACATCACATAAACAAGTTGAAAGATAAAAATCATATAGTCATATCAATTGATGCAGAAAAAGCATTTGATAAAATCCAACACACTTTCCTGATAAAAACTCTCAACAAGGTGGGAGTACAAGGATCATACCTCAACATAATAAAAGCTATATATGATAAACCCACAGCCAACATCATACTCAATGGGCAAAAACTAAAACCATTCCCTCTAAGAACAGGAACAAGAGAGGGATGCCCACTTTCGCCACTCCTCTTTGACATAGTACTGGAAGTACTAGCCATTGCAATTAGACAAGAGGAGGAAATAAAAGGCATCCAAATTGGAAAAGAAGAAGTAAAGCTATCCTTATTTGCAGACAACATGATATTGTACATAAAAAACCCAAAAGACTCCATTAAAAAACTAATTGGCTTAATAAATGAATTTGGCAATGTAGCAGGATACAAAATTAACGCCAAGAAATCTATGGCATTTCTATACACCAACAGCGAATTTATAGAAACAGAGACTAAAAAAGCAATTCCATTTACCATCGCACCAAAAAAATTAAGATATCTAGGAATAAATTTAACTAAGGAAGTAAAGGACCTATATGCGGAAAACTACACGACACTGAAAAAAGAGATAGAGGAAGATGTAAACAGATGGAAGAGCATACCATGTTCATGGATTGGTAGAATCAACATCATCAAAATGTCCATACTTCCTAAAGCAATCTATAGGTTCAATGCACTCCCCATTAAAATACCAATGGCATACTTCACTGACCTAGAAAGAACTCTCCAAAAGTTCATTTGGAACAATAAAAGACCCCGAATAGCCACAGCAATCCTGAGAAAGAAGAGTAAAGTAGGAGGGATCTCAATACCAGACTTCAAACTGTATTACAAAGCCACTGTTCTAAAAACAGCCTGGTACTGGCACAAAAACAGACATATAGATCAATGGAATCGAATCGAGAACCCAGATATCAACCCAAATCACTATGCTCAATTAATATTTGACAAAGGAGGCATGAATATACAATGGAGTCAAGACAGTCTCTTCAATAAATGGTGTTGGGAAAATTGGACCAATACATGCAAAAGAATGAAACTGGATCACCAACTTACACCATACACAAAAGTAAACTCAAAATGGATACAGGACTTAAACATCAGACGGGAAACCATAAAAATACTAGAAGCATCCACGGGCAGCAAAATCTCAGACATATGCCAAAAGAACTTCTTCACTGATACTGCCCCTAGGGCAATGGAAGCTAAAGAGAAAATAAACAAATGGGACTACATCAAAATAAAAAGCTTTCTTACAGCAAAAGAAACCATCAACAAAACAACAAGAAAGCCCATGATGTGGGAGAACATATTTGCAAATGTTACCACTGATAAAGGTTTAATCTCCAACATCTACAAACAGCTTATACAACTAAATAAAAGGAAGATGAATGATCCAATTAAAAAATGGGCAATGGACCTAAATAGAATATTTCCAAAAGAAGACAGAAGGAAGGCCAAAAGGCACATGAAAACATGCTCAAAGTCACTAATTATCCGAGAGATGCAAATCAAAACAACAATGCGGTACCATCTCACACCTGTCAGAATGGCCAACATCAACAGATCAACAATCGACAGGGGTTGGCGAGGTTGTGGAGAAAAGGGAACCCTCGTGCACTGCTGGTGGGAATGCAGACTGGTGCAACCACTGTGGAGAACAGTGTGGAGTTTTCTCAAAAAACTGAAAATGGAACTCCCATTTGACCCAGTAATCCCACTCCTAGGAATATATCCCAAGAAACTAGAAACACCAATCAGAAAGGATATATGCACCCCTATGTTCATAGCAGCACAATCTACAATAGCTAGAATTTGGAAACAGCCTAGATGCCCATCAGCAGATGATTGGATCAAAAAACTTTGGTACATCTACACAATGGAATACTATGCTGCCATAAAAAAGAAGGAATTCTCATCATTTGTAGCAACCTGGATGGAAATGGAGAACATCATGCTGAGTGAAATAAGCCAGTTGTTGAAAGAAAAACACCACATGACTTCACTCATTTGTGGATAATAAAGAACATTATAAACTGATGAACCAAAAGATAGATATAAAGATAGTATATCAACAAGCAGACTGTCAAATTACAGCGGGGAGGGGAGGAAGATCTGGGGGAGATAATAGATCAACCGAAGGACTTTTATACATGCACATAAGTACAACCAATGGAAATAAAACTCTGGGGAGGGAGGGGATGTGAGGGAGGGAGGGAGGGAGGGCAAAAAAAAAAAAAATCAAAAAAAAAATATATATATATTTAAAAAAAAAAAAAAAAAGACTGAAGAAAGGACCTCTTTTCCACTATTTCGAATGCTTAATAGCTAATTTCATAACATCACATGTACCATTTTAAGAAAGTGATGATTTAGTGGGAAATTAATGCTTTGCATCTGTATACTGTAAACATAAATGACGATTTGTTTGAAATGTGTAACTTGGATATGCAAAAGATAATAACTCACAATGTTAATATTAAATATTCCTTCAAAAAAAATCAATAAAATATATTTTAAAAAATAATATGAATAAAAGATAAAAATATGAATAATAAAATGGCAATAAATATGTATCTATGATCAATTGAATCTAAAAAACAAAATAAATGAATAAGCAGAACAGATAAGCAGACTCATAGATATACAGAACATTTTGATGGTTGTCAGATGGGAAGGGGGTTGGAAGATGGGTAAAAAGGTGAAGGGGTTAAGAAGTAAAAACTAGGTCCTAACTGGTTTGGCTTAGTGGATAAAGTGTCAGCCTGTAGACTGAAAGGTCCCACGTTCGATTGGGTCAAGGGCATATGCCTGTGTTCTAGGCTCGATCCCCAGTGAGGGGCATGAAGGAGGCAACCAATCAATGATTCTCTCTCATCACTGATGTTTTTCTCTCTCTCTCAATCCCTTCCTCTCTGAAATCAATAAAAATATATACATATTTTAAAAAGAAGTATAAATTGGTTGTTATGGAATAGTCACGCAGCAGAACGACTGGTCGCTATGACATGCACTGACCACCAGGGGGAATGCCACTCAGCCAGAAGCCCTGAGCCGGGCTCACTGCAGGCAAGTGCAGTGGTGGTGGCAGGAGCCTCTCCCATGGAGAGTGGGCCTAAGCTATTAGTCAGACATCCACTGAGGGCTCCTGGACTGCAAGAGGGCACAGGCAGGGCTGAGGACCCCGCCCCTGAGTGTACAAATTTCGTGTACCGGGCCTCTAGTTATTATATAAAAACACTGACCATGTTGAAGCTAAAATTAAAAATATTACCGCTTATAATTGCTCCAATGAAAATGAAGTGCTTTCACATATACTTAACAAAACATGTAGAAAATTACAAAAAGCTGAAAGAAATCAGACCTATATAGAAAGACATACTTTGTTCACTGACTGGAAAAATCAACATAGTAAAGATATCTATCCTCTTCAAACTAATATATAAGTTTAATGTGATTTCTAGCAAAATCTCAACATAGCTTCTTTTTTTTTTAATATATATTTTATTGATTTTTTTTTTTTACAGAGAGGAAGAGAGAGGGACAGAGAGTTAGAAGCATCACTGAGAGAGACTCATCAATCAGCTGCCTCTTGCACACCCCCTACTGAGGATGTGCCCGCAACCAAGGTACATGCCCTTGACCGGAATCGAACCCGGGACCTTTCAGTCCCCAGACCGATGCTCTATCCACTGAGCCAAACCGGTTTCGGCTCAAAATAGCTTCTTATAGACATAGAGGCCTGGTGCACGAAATTTCATGCGTGGTTAGGGTCCCCAGGCCTGGCCAGAACCTTCTTTCCCAGGTTGGAGCAGACAGCCTTCCTTCCGCCAGGGCCTCCCACTGCTGATTTCTTTGCCCCCACATGCCCTCCCCTGCCGGCATGATCACTCACAACTACCCTCACCTGCCGGCCATCTTGTGATGACATAAGGGCATTGCACGAGGGCATGAGGACCACCTAGGCTTTTTATTAGTATAGACTAGAGGTCTGGTGCACAAAATTTGTGCACGGTAGTGGGGGGGGGGAATCCCCTCAGCCCGGCCTGCACCCTCTCACAATCCATGACACCTCGGGTAGGTTCCCTAGGCCTGGCCTGAGACCAGGGCCTAACGGGGCTTTCCTTCCTCCGGCTCAGGCAGCTGGCCTCATTCCCACCACTGCAACCCTGCTAGCGGTTCTCTAGAACCACCACTGCTCTAGAGCCTAAGACCATCGGAAAACACAGATATTTACATTACGATTCACTAACAGTAGCAAAATTAGTTATGAAGTAGCAACGAAAATAATTTTATGGTTGGGAGTCACCACACCAGGAACTGTATTCAAAGGTCACGGCATTAGAAAGGTTGAGAATCACTGCCTTAGATTGTCAAATTAAAAAACACACATAACAGCCAACATAACAATAGCCGTCCAGGGTAAGTGAATCAAACTTAAATCTATTTTTTTTTTTGTCAGATTGGCAAAAAATATAATAGATATTTTTGGTGTACTGAAGAATTTTAGTAATTAATTAGTTTATGTGTGCCATGAGATGAAAAAGGTTGAAAATCGCTGCTCTGGGTGATTTGCCTTTCTTTTTCCCCACATCACCAAGTTGAGAACCAACCAGCTAGTGGAACATAGGGTCTCTCTTACTGGAATGCATTTTCCATAAACTGAGGCCATAACAGATTATTCAACTTCTACACAAAGGAAAGGAAGAATTTTTACCTAGAGAGATGACAGTCTCATAGTTTTCCTGCATTACTTCATTGTAGAGGATCATCTGAGTAGGGGCCAGTAATTTCCATTCTTCTTCGGAAAAATGCACAGCCACATCTTCAAATGTCAACAAACTCTAAAGAAGAGAGTAGGTTTTAGTTCAGTATTTGCCAACAGAGAAGTGGTACTGTCACTCATGTCTGAATTACATGGTAGTTCAGTCACTGAAATTAAGTGTATAAAATTTAGGGAGGAAAAGTGAGCGGCAGAAAAGAAAGAAAAGAGATCAGTAAACAATCTTGGGAAGTGTCCAATTCCCACTGTCCCAAGCCTAGCTGTGTAAAGGACATCTGAGGCTAACTCAGCTCAGAATACCTGCTGGGCATTGTGGGTCTTGGGCAGCAGAGAAAATCACAGACAAGGTCACAGTCAGACTGCCTGCAAAATCTGGAATGTACAGCTCACCTGGGATTCAGGCAAGACGAGCTCAGTTGCCATCTTCCAGTTTGGGTGTTTTTCTGCTCAGAAAAAGCTAGAATCTGTTGAGCAGGCACAGCTGTGGGTGGAAAGGAGCCAGAAAATTTCTCTTTTCTGTTTATGAATATCCTAAGCTGATTTGTAAAATATAGAATATCAGGACACCTTCAGTAAAGATAGTTCACCTTCATGTGTATGAATGTGTGTGTAATGCCAAAAGTGGCCTTTTCACGGTAAATAAGAAGCAAATATCCACCACTCCATAGAATGGGTTACCCAGATTTCAAGAGATAAATTAAAGGAAATTGGCTATTTTTTCCTATCATAAAATAGTTTGTTCATTGGGTTGGGCAAGAATCAGGGATGTTTGAAAATGAGGGACTCAATGTGAAATGTTTTAGTCTATTATTATTTTTTCCTGGTGTATAATTCTCTTCTTCTTTTGTCAATGACAGCTCATTTCGGATCTAAATTTTTCTCCAACTTACAGGAGTCAGATGACCCCACCAGTCCCTATTTCATTTTCTCTCAAATTTCTAAGGAACAAGGTCCATGACATGAATACCAGGATCCCATGGTTTGGATATTTCTGTACACCACACTGCTCCTCACCTTCACCGACCATTGACCTATTGTAGTCCCATATGAGAGACATCCTAACTGCTAGCATGGCTGGGCACCTGGAAGATTCCCATGATATTCTAGCTGAATGGATTACTATCACGGCTCCCAGAAGAGAATTATTATGAAGCTCCTCACCTCTTTCATATACAGGCTGGGTTTCTGTGTGAGTTTTCAAGCCCAGCTGTTCTTGTAGTACCTGGTATGCATCCCAACATTCTTTCTGGAACACACCCATTGCTTGGGGCTCTGCTGGCTTCCACTTAAAGCCTGGGACCTCTGCTGTTCCTCCCAAGAGCACTGCCTCCTTTCCCAGGTCATGGACTGTGACCTAGAAATAATCCCCATCCTCATTAGCACAGAACTTACTCGCAGTTTCAGGCTGTGGTGGAGGAACGGCTGTGGTGGAGGAACGAACAAGAATAGAGCCCAGATTTCGGGAGTGTGTGACATTAAAGGAAGTATTAAAAAACGGTAATGGTATTGTGCTCCCCTTTTCTCACAAAGAACTATATGCATCACCTGGGAAAATGAGGATAACATCAAAAAAGCTGTGACTGCTGCTAGGCTCCACCCCTCCACATACTAGCACAGCCATGGTTCAGGCTGCTAGCAAACTGGGTGCAGGCTGCCTTCACTGGCTTGTTTTCTTGACTTAGTTCCTTGCCTGATCGGATTTCTATATTTTAGTCTTATCTAAGGCATTCAATAAAAAAGGTTTTTCCTCTTTGTCACATTTTCTAATCCCCTCATGATTAGGAAAGGATTTCATGGAGAAAGGGGATGCAATGGGGGTGGGGGAGGAAACTGGGGAAAGTTCAGCTCTAACCTCCCTCCTCATGGGATTCAGTTGTAATAAGACACAAATATATCCTGCCCTGTGTTCCTCAAGGTGAGCTCCTGAATTAAGGGAGTGTGCTGCCATCTCCTCAGAGTATACCTTGGTCCCCCACTCACCAGCAAAGCCAAGGATAGATCACTAAGGAAGGTAAGGGAGGCTCTTTTCCGGGCCTAGAGATGTGTATTCCCACTACAGAGGGCACTAACCCTCAGCATCTTGATTCTTGCCACTTCCCTTTGGCATTTTTCTTCTTTCCATGTCCTTGCTTCCCATTTATTCTACTACTTCTCCTCTGCAGTCTTCCCAGAGTTGTTTGATTTATACTTCTGTTTTCTACCCTTGCTCTCCTTTGATCTTTCCAAGTGCTATCTTAGCCCCCACTCCCCAATTTTCTCCCTTTTCCCCATTTGTTCTTGCCTTTTAGTTCTGTTTCTAGGAAATCAAGTCCTATCTCCTTGGCCATGCCAGATTAGGCTCACCACACTCAATTTGCATTGGCCCTAAATAGGGAAAAATGCACTTATTTTTGCTAAGGCCAGGAAAGATTGCCAGGAGCTCTGAAACTTATAGACCAGTGTTTCCCAAAGTGTGGTACGCGTACCCCCAGGGGTACGGGAAGAGTTTGGTGGGGGTACGCGTTGCACCGGAGTTTGGTGGGGATATGGACTGCACCGTGCTTAGCTGCGCCTAATTCTACATTCTCATGAGTAGGAGGGGTACTCAGCGTTACGGAAATTATAGAAGGGGTACACATGTCAAAAGTTTGGGAAACACTGCGTGTAGACTATTGCTGCATACATGTGATTTCAGATCTCACTTAATTATCCCAAAGGAACAACGGAAGAGCGACCCACCCAAAATCATTCCCCCATTAACCTCCCAACCCATAAACATACCCACCCTTATCCTATTTCATTGTATGTGTGAGGAATCTTTTTTCTCACCTCATTACTTATTCCACCAGGTTCTCTCTGAAAGTGCTCTACTAGGGCCACAACCTCTTTGATGCTCTGGGGATGATACCTCTGTACCCAGTTCTGAATATCCCTAGGCAGAATGTTTAGGAACTGCTCTAGCACCAGCAGTTCCAAGATCTGTTCTTTTGAGAGGATCTCTGGCTTGAGCCACTGATGGCATAATTCCTGAAGTTGGTGAACAGCCTCAAGGGGTCCAGGTGCTTCCTGGTAACAGAAACTCCGGAACTGCTGGCGAGCACTCTCAAGACCAAGACTGTCCATGTGTGGGCTGAATTTCTTACTCTGACCGGAGCTCTCTTTCACAGACTCCTTAGTCTCCCACGAAGACTCCACGTGTGCGTATGAACAAGCATTCATCTTCAGATGTCTCATCATAATTTGCTCTTGGAACAGTTTTTCTCCTATTTGTGACATTCTCCTGGTGCCACCTTTGACAACTGAGGCCTTGTCAGGTTTGGTTACAAAATCAATGAATGGATCTTCTCCCCAAGGGCACTGAGGGAAGAGAGGAAAAAAGTGAAAAGTCAAAATAAAAGCCATATGATATATATTTACTTGCTCTTTAAAATTATCAGAGAAAAATGAACAGAAAAGTTTTGTCCTGCTTCCCCCTTAAAATCAACTGCCAAGAATTAGGACACTCGAGAAGGCAGATTACTTCAAAGTAAATGTTTCTCTCCTTTAGTGTTACTCAACTTTGAAACAAAGAACAGCTCAGAGGATACAGATGTCAACTGAAAACTGTTTGCTCAAAGGCTGAGGAACAAATGATAGGTGAAAAAAAAATAGCACCCATTTGCTAAAAAGGAGCTTTAAGACTATTTAATACTTAATTTGTGTGCTTCCTATCCTATCTTCACAAATAGGGCATATTTGAGTTTCTCTAAATTTAAAAGATCATTCCAATCTTTTGTCTTTAGTCAGGGGGGAAATAACTTCTATGCCCCTTCATTCCCTTAAGAAGACTGAAACCTTTACCTCATGGAACATTTGATAGTCTTCTTTCCATTACATTACCAATGGCAGGAGAACTGACACAGGAAGATCAGAAAAGAAGTATTCAGGAAAAAAAGTAACTTTATTCCTCTCAGCAAATATCCCCCAACTAAGCAACCAGATGTCCACAACATTTTTTGTTGGTACTTTTGGGGGAAATTTATAAAGGTCTCTGTGCAAACGTGTACCTATGCATTCAATTTCTTGTTTACTTACTGCAAAAAACTTGCATTTGTTTATAAGCTATCTAATTAGCAGATTTTTTAAAAAAGGAAAGAAATGGTGATGGTTGAATTTCTTTTTTTTTTTAAATATACTTTATTGATTTTTTTACAGAGAGGAAGGGAGAGAGATAGAGAGCTAGAAACGTCAATGATAGAGAAACATCGACCAGCTGCCTCTTGCACATCCCCTACCCACAACCAACGTACATGCCCCTGACCGGAATCGAACCTGGGGCAGACCGACGCTCTATCACTGAGCCAAACTGGTTTCGGCGGTTGAATTTCTTGAGACAGGAAGGGTCTCTAGTAAAGGTACTCCTTCTCCTGATTTTACATTTCTTCAGAGTCATTACAGATTTTTAAGCAAGACTGAGGATAGCCTGGATGTCTGATTTTCCCTGAGGTGATCCAGCAAAAAGAGCAACACATTTATTTCGAGGATACCCCTGGTATTCAAAGAAATGGTTGGTTCTTTGCTGCTTATACAGGCTGAGGAGACACAGGGACACCTCCTATACATTTAGTTTGTGGATTTTTTGGTTTTGTTTTTACATTTATTTATTTATTTATTTATTTTTATTTATTTTCATATTAAATTTTATTGGGGTGACATTAGTCAACATGAACATATAGATTTCATGTGTCAATTACTAAGTTACAAAATCTGTATATAGGACCATGTGTCCACCACCCAAAGTCAAATCTGTCACCTCATATTAGGACCCCTTTCTCCCATCCTTCCTCCCTCTGGCAACCTCCTATATTTTTTAGCAGCAGAAGCTGTAATTACCTTTCCTCCAGGGATATGACCATAAGCCAGCAGAAACTGGAAAACGTCCCTGGGTGCAGTGGTAGTCATCACTGCCCCATCCCCCACCACTAATTCTCTAAACCTATGTCAACCACAAGGGTGACAATAAGCCCTGTGCACGTGCTCAGCCTCGGAGGGTGCTTCAGCAGCACTCCTGGATGATATTTGCACACAGAGTACCAAGAGATCACTTCCGGAAGTTAGATGTGGAAATAGGAGCCTGAATACCGGCCTCACAGAGAAAAGGTCGTGCCTGAACTCAGGCTAACGGCCGCCAGGCAAAGTCGCCACCACGAACTGGGACTGCTACATCCCCCATCCCCCAACACCCTCCATTCCACCCCCTTACCCCCATTCCCTCACCACTATGCAGGCTGCAACTGGCACCTGCGGCCCTTATCTCTCGAACTGTCTATACCAAATACAAAGGGGAAATCGGGCTTCTCGATTACCTTCACGCGGCTCTGGCCTCCGGGGACGCCACTTCCCTCTTCCTCACTGGACTCTGGAGTCGCCACGCCTCCGGGTCCTCTGGGAAGAAGCTCTCCGCGCCTGCGCTGCTGCGGAGCGGCGTCGGGAGCCTGTGACGCCTGAGAGAGGAGCCCAAGACTCAGAAGCGCAGGGAACTTGGAAGATCAGTCTCCCATCCGTTCCCTCTATCTCCCGGAGCGTATACCCCGACTCGCCATTTTAAGGTCGCGGGATGTCGACCGGGCCCCAACCGGAAAAGGAAGAGTCGTTTCCGGTGGCTTTGTGACAACCACGCCCAGCCATCTGTCTTCCTTCCTCCACCTGTGCAGTCTCAGGCCAGCCTGCTAGGAACAATCCCTGAGGTCCTTTCCAACCTCCAACCTAGAAGGATTGCCTTTCTTATCCCATTCAGCCCCTGATGAAAAAAAAAAAAAAAAAAAAAAAAAAAAGTTAATCCCATTGAGTCTCCAGACCCCACAATCCTCTCTCTCTCTCTCTCTCTCTCTCTCTCTCTCTCTCTCTCTCTCTCTCTCTCTCTCTCTCTCCCCATCCATGGATATATTTTCATTTTCTAGTGCATTTTATTTTTTAATTTTATTTATTGTTTAAAGTATTACATGTAGTAGTACATACATTTCCTTTTCCCCCATTGACTTTCCCCCAGCCCCCATATTTTAAATCTTTGTTTTTTAAGTTAAATCTTTATTGTTTAAAGTATTACATATGCCCCCCCCCCATTAATCCCTTTTAGCCTGCAATGCCCTCCCCAGCCCTTCACCACCCTATTGTCTGTGCCCATGGGTTATGCATATATGAATACAAGTTCTTTGGTTGATCTCTTCCCACCCCACCCCACCCCACTGCCTTCCTTCTGAGATTCAACTGTCCCATGGTTTTATGTCTCTGGATCTGTTTTGTTCATCAGTTTGTTTTGTTCATTAGATTCCACATATGAGTGAGATCATGTGATGTTTATATTTCTCTGACTGGTTTATTTCACTTAACATAATAATCTCCAGGTCCCTCCATGCTGTCTCAAAGGGTAGGCGATCCATCTTTTTTACAGCAGCATAGTATTCCGTCATATAAATGCACCATAGCTTTCTTATCCACTCATCTACTAATGGGCACTTGGGCTGTTTCCAGATCTTAGCTGTTGTAAATTGTGCTGCTATGAACATAGGGGTGCACACATTCTTTCTGATTGGTGTTTTGGGTTTCTTAGGATATATTCCTAGAGTGGGACTACTGGGTCAAATGGGAATTCTATATTTAATTTTGTGAAGAAACTCCATAGTGTTTTTTCATAATGGCTGCACTAGTCCATTGATGATAGAAAGAGTGGAAGGGAAGGTGAGGGGAGCAGGAGGGAGGGAGAGAGAGACATCAATTCGTTGCCTCCCAGTTGCAGCCCTCATCTGGGCCTGGATCAACTTGTAACCCAGGTACATGCCCTTTCCCGGGAATGAATCTGAGACCCAGTGCACAGGCCAACACTCTAACTACTGAGCCACACTGGCCAGGGCTCAATCTCTCCCTTACTTCAGTGAAGTGTTGCTAGTCCAGATTATTCTTACATCACTTTCCAGCTGCTGGCTTCCCTTTCTATAGGGAACTTCCCCAGTGAGGGCCACAGCCCCAAAAGTTGTCACTAGGCTTGTCCACAGCCTCCTTTAGTAAGAGGCAGTTTGGTCCTGGTCAGGCTCCTCCTTCGATTAGGAACCACAGTCCTTTATGGTGTTTTCTTTCTTTCTTTCTTTCTTTCTTTCTTTCTTTCTTTCTTTCTGTCTGTCTGTCTGTCTGTCTTTCTTTCTTTCTTTCTTTCTTTCTTTCTTTCTTTCTTTCTTTCTTTCTTTGTTTTTTGTCCTTTATTTTATAAAAATTTTCTGGTGCACTGGCATGTTCTTCTCAACTATTATTACTTTATTATGGTTAGGTAGGTCTGAACCTCATAATATAAGTTCCATATATGTCAGGCCCTGCACTAGGGTTTGATCTTAAAGTGTAGAGAGCAAGACAGAGACTTCCATGCCAGTTGTTACAGCAGTGTGGCGATCTTGATGTCAGGTCAGGATGGGCCTTAGACTCCATGTCCAGAGGAATCAGAAGGATAAAATTTGATCCCACCCATCAAGTCTTCCCACAGTCCTCCGTGTCCCCTACAGCCAGCCAGAGGCAAAGGAATACCTCTCACTCATCTATATAACATCTCTTTCACCCATTTGTCATATAATGGGTGAAAGAGATAGCTTTCTCCTTAGTGACCTGACATGAGACTTTTTACTGTAGCTTTGTTCAGAAGAACAGCAACATTTCTTGGGTGCCTTAAGGTTATTTGAAGATAGGATTACCCGTGAAGAATGACATTCTTAAAAATTACACATTAAGAATGAAAAAATTTAAAGAGCCAATCAACCACGCTCCTTAGACACAGTTTGACATGTTATTTTATAGAATAGTTGTGTGTTTGGTGTCATTTTCAGTAAATGTGAGTCTTGTAATTTTATTTTCTATTTTTTAAAAAGTATGATTGCCCTGGCTGGTGTTACTCACAGAAGGTTCGATTCCAGGTCAAGGGGATAGGCCTGTGTTGCAGGTTTGATACCCCACAGCAGTATGGGCATGTGCAGAGGCAACCAATCAATGTGTCTCTCTCACTCCCTCTCTCAGTCTCTCTTTTTCAATCTCTCTCTCTCTCTCTCTCTCTCTCTCTCTCTCTCTCTCTCTCTCTCTTCTCTCTCTCTCTCTCTCTCTCTCTCTCTCTCTCTCTCTCTCTCTCTCTCACACACACACACACACACACACACACACCTCCGTTTCACTTTCCCTAAAATCAATGGAAAAAATAACCTCAGCCGAGACCAGTTTGGCTCAATGGATGGAGCGTCCGCTTGGGGACTGAAGGGACCCGG